GAGTAGAGTTTCTTCTTCGACAGTGGCTTATCCATACCCTATCTTCACACATACACAGTTTCCTATTATTTTATTACATACCCCATCTCCACACATACATAGTTTCCTATTATTTTATTACATACCCTATCTCCACACATACACAGTTTCCTATTATTTTATTACATATTCTATCTCCACACACATACAGTTTCCTATTTATTATTACATACCCTATCTCCACACATACACAGTTTCCTATTATTTTATTACATATTCTATCTCCACACACATACAGTTTCCTATTTATTATTACATACCCTATCTCCTCACATACAGTTTACTATTATTTTATTACATATCCTATCTCCACACATACACAGTTCCCTATTATTTTATTACATATTCTATCTCCATAGGTACATAGTTTCCAATTATTTTATTACATATCCTATCTCCACATATACACAGTTTCCTATTATTCTCTTACATATCCTATTTTCCATCATACACAGTTTCCTATTATTTTATTACATATTCTATCTCCACATATACACAGTTTCCTATTATTTTATTACATGTTCTATATCCACATATACACATTTTCCTATTATTTTACTACATACCCTATCTCCACACATTCACAGTTTCTTATTATTTTATTACATACACTATCTTCACACATACACAGTTTCCTATTATTTTGTTACATATCCTATCTCCACACATACACAGTTCCCTATTATTTTATTACATATTCTATCTGCACACATATATAGTTTCCTATTATTCTATTACATACCCTATCTCCACACATACACAGTTTCCTATTATTTTATTACATACCCTATCCCCACACATACAATTTCCTATTATTTTATTACATATTCTATCTGCACACATATATAGTTTCCTATTATTTTATTACATACCCTATCTTCACAGATACACAGTTTCCTATTATTTTATTACATAACTTATCTCCACTCATACACAGTTTCCTATTATTTTATTACATATTCTATATCCACACATACATAGTTTCCTATTATTTTATTACATATCCTATCTCCACACATTCACACATATCCTATTTTCCATCATACACAGTTTCCTATTATTTTATTACATATTCTATCTCCACATATACACAGTTTCCTTTTATTTTACTACATACCCTATCTTCACACACATACACAGTTTCCTATGATTTTATTACATATCCTATCTTCACACATACACAGTTTCCTATTATTTTATGACATACCCTATCTCCACACATACACAGTTTCCTATTATTTTATTACATATCCTATCTTCACACATACATAGTTTCCTATTTTCCAATACATATTCTATTTCCACACATACATAGTTTCCCATTAATTTAATATATATGCTATCTCCACATATACACAGTTCCTAGTATTTTATTACATATTCTATATCCACATATACATAGTTTCCTATTATTCCATTACATATTTTATCTCCACTCATACATAGTTTCCTATTTTTTTAATATATATGCTATCTCCACACATGCACATTTTCCTATTATTTTATTACATATCCTAGCTTCATAAATACACAGTTTCCTATTATTTTATTACATATCCTATCCCCACACATTCACAGTTTCTTATTACTTTATTACATACACTATCTCCACACATTCACAGTTTCTTATTATTTTATTACATACACTATCTTCACACATACACAGCTTCCTATTATTTTATTACATACCCTGTCTTCACACATACACAGTTTCCTATTATTTTATTACATACCCTATCTCCACACATACATAGTTTCCTATTATTTCATTACATACCCTATCTCCACACATACACAGTTTCCTATTATTTTATTACATATCCTATCCCCACACATTCACAGTTTCTTATTATTTTATTACATACACTATCTCCACACATTCACAGTTTCTTATGATTTTATTACATACACTATCTTCACACATACACAGTTTCCTATTATTTTATTACATACCCTATCCCCACACATACAATTTCCTATTATTTTATTACATACCCTATCTCCACACATACACAGTTTCCTATTATTTTATTACATGCCCTATCCCCACACATACAATTTCCTATTATTTTATTACATATCCTATCTTCACACATACACAGTTTCCTATTACTTTATTTCATACCCTATCCCCACACATACAATTTCCTATTATTTTATTACATATTCTATCCCTACACATACATATTTTCCTAATATTTTAATATATGTGCTATCTCCACACATGCACAGTTCCTATGATTGTATTACATACCCTATCTCCACACATACACAGTTTCCTAATATTTTATTACATATCCTATCTCCACACACACACAGTTTCCTATTTTTTATTACATACCCTATCTCCACACATACAATTTCCTCTTATTTTATTACATATCCTATCTCCACACATACACAGTTTCCTATTGTTTTATTACATATCCTATCTCCACACATACACAGTTTCCTATTATTTTATTACATACGCTATCCCCAGACATACAATTTCCTATTATTTTATTACATATCCTATCATCACACATACACAGTTTCCTATTATTTTATTACATATCCTATCATCACACATACACAGTTTCCTATTATTTTATTACATATTCTATCTCTACACATTACATATTCTGTCACTCATCTTTATTCTCAAAATGATGTCGGTAATTAAAATTTACAGATAAATATTTTAAATCTATTTTACTGCATCTTAAATTTTCAAAGATTTTTTTGTTTGTTTTCATACTATAAAACAAATCAATGATGTTTCACATTATGTCTCTGTAGCTAAGGGTAAAAAACTTGATGCTACTCAAGAAATGATTGCTTTAGGTAAGTTGAATTATTATCTAATTGTGATTTTAATAATATATTAAGTTCTAGAGTCCAGGATGTATTTTCCATTTTGTCTAAAAGAATATATGAAATTAGACTACTTGAATAAATTATCTAGAAAATAAAAGAAACAAAAGAAGAAAAACTGTATAATATAAATGAAGTGTAATACAGTCATGTTATAGTAGCTCAACTAGGTATAGACAGCCATAAATCAATATTTAGAATAATTTGTAAACCATTCACTCAATTTTTCTGTAAATTCATCATCTGGAAACAGTTGTAAACCATTTTTAGAATAATTCTACATGATAATAACTACAGAAACACATGTACATCTTTCTGTTAAAATTTCTCAAGTTCATTATATGGACTGTTTACTCTTTTACATGATACATAGCTATAAATATAAATCTGTAACTGTTTCATTCCATTTGTATATCTATGTATAGTTAGTCTCTAGGTTTAACGTGTAATTACTCAGTCAAATGTAACTGTTTGTATCTATGTATAGTTAGTCTCTAGGTTTAACGTGTAATTACTCAGTCTAATGTAACTGTTTGTATCTGTGTATAGTTAGTCTCTAGATTTAATGTGTAATTACTCATTGTCATTATTTCTATAATAAATTTTAATGTCTTTACTTACCTGACAACCACACATTTATTATGTTAAACATTATACTGTTACGCCTCTGAGTTCATTTGTTAATTTTCCGAATTCCTTCCAAAGAAATATTAGCGATACAAGTCCTTTCTTAAATAAAACTAGTTTATTCTTTCTCAATACAATTTTGCAATACACTTAATTTCCACAGTCACGCTATAACTTAAAC